AAAAAAAAAAAAAAAAAAAAAAAAAATTGAAAAATCCACAAACTGGATATTATGTAAATTGTGTTTCTATATTATTGCTTTAACTATGTTTCAACTATCAGAAACGATTTCTTTGAAGAAAACTTTCTAGAAACAAAACTAAATGAAAGTACTTGGATAAAACGTTCTTCTATTGCATTTCAATTTAAATGATGCATGTGCATTTTGTTAAAAATTATATTCAATCTATAAATTTTAAAATATAAAAGGGAAAATTAAAAAGTGAACGAAGATAAATTTGAATTAATAATAATTCTATCTAAATTCTACATTTTTATTTCTCAATTTTCAATTCTTTTCATCAATAGTCACACTTTTACTACCAACCCAGTAAAATAAATTTCCCTTAAAATATTTCGAAACAATGACTATTATTTCTATCAATATAATGACTATTTCTATCGATACAGTGACGGTATGATAAAAATTAGAAAAGTCAGTTTCTACCAACTTTTCATAATCTTTCAAAAGCAAACGTTATTCAACAAAGAGACAAATTTTCCCTAAAATGTTTCGAAGCAATAATTATTTTCATCGATACGTGATAGTGATGCGTGGATAAAAATGAAACAAGACGTTTTTGCATCTCTCCATAATCTTTCAGAAGCAACCGAGTACTTTCGCTACCAACCGAGTAAAATAAATTTTCCCTAAAATGTTTCGGTGCAATAACCATTTTCGACGATACAGCAGCGCCAAAGTAGGTCGTGGAACGATTCGAAACTGAAAGATGGCGTTCATTTTGGAAAGTTACTTAAGCGAATTCTAAGGGTTAAAGAGAGCGGCGAAGGAAACTCGGCGTCCGCCGTAGGGGGTCGGCCATTGTTTGCGGGGAGGAACCTTCTTTCACCATAGACGCAGCCACAACAATAGTCGGACGTCTCAAAGGCATGGTAACAATTACGACGTTTCGACAATAGTGTCTTCATCGTCGGATATTGCTCGAACGATCGAGCTTTCGTCTTGTGACGAGCTTTAAACCATCAGAGAAAACTGAGCTTTTCATGGTAGAAAGAAGAGAAACAATATTCGATTCTTGGTTTCATAATCGATGTGGAACAAATAAATACGGTATATTCGATGGAGATTATCGATAAGAAATGAACCTTTTACATAAAATTTTTTTCTCCTATTGTATTTTTATTATTGGTATTGCAGTATTCTTAAGTCAGTTTTGTTCAGGTCTAATATTTATAGAATTATTACCTAGAAATATTTAATTATTTGATAGGTTTTTGGGTCTACAGCCACGTGTTCAGGTTAATGTTTTGTTTTATGATTAGTTTTACGAGTGTACAGTTATTCGCTACTTTAACAGTGTGAAATAAAATTGGAAAATTATTCAGAATTTTATAAGTTTATAAGAATTTTAAAACTAAAGAAACTTTAATTTCAATAAAAACACAAATTAAAAGAACGCTCGTACGTTTAAAAGAATATTTTTCCGAGAAAATTCAAATTGAAGGAGCTGTATGCAGCAACTTGTTTCAAAAATTTCCATTCGAATAATATCCTGAGAGAGTCATTCTCAAGAGAACAAAGGCAAAGACACACTTAATTTCCTCGCGTTTCAATTTGCCAACCCGTGAAAATATTCGTTTCACGCGACGAAAACGAGCGAAATGGTTATAACGAATAACGAAACAAACGCGTGTAAATTCCTCTGATGATAAAAAAAAAAGTGAATAAACGAGTTGTATGTGGTATTTTACGCGTAATAACACGTGAAACATCATATAGAAACTTTTTGTCTTCGAGTGTCTATCAATCGCGAGTATCACGGCCGATTGCATAACGACCATTATTCGTTTCAGCTCTTTTATTGCTATACGACGTGACGAACAAGACGAGTTACGATAACATCAGAGCCTGGCTGAGTGAAATTCGGGAACACGCGAACGAGGATGTGGTCATCATGCTATTGGGTACGTTTCGATTATTTCTAGACAGTAAATCTAGTGTCTAGTGAAGAAGTCGATAGTGAAATCATCATTTATTTTAAGTCTGAACGACTTAGGAACTAATCTAGCAATAGCACTGTTCAACAAGGACTGCTGACTCAACTATGCTGCAAGATCTTGCAAATCAAGATTTTCTAAGTGGATAAAAGTGATCGGAATAAAATGTTGAATAAATATAAGATTAAATTCATTGTCATAGGATGATGTAACGCGTAGTTAAAGATGTATCTGTGTATCTTTTGAATACGAGTGAATAGGAAAAACGGAGAAAAGAAAGAGAGATTTTCTTTACCGTCTTTGCGAAAGAAAGTTGTCACGATGATCAACTAGTTTTTATATAGTATACAGTAGTTTTAACAAGCTTCTTGTTTTATTTTAAAAAATATAGAAAGACGTTCTAAATATATCATCGTTCAAGTTATTTAATTACTCTATTATTGGAATTGAGAGAACTGTTCTTTTGATCAATGAAACGAATTTTCTATCAGCTGGGATTGATTTGAGGAAGTAATTGCTCCTAAAAATAAATTGTGAGAAATTATGAGTTATTAAAACAAAAAATTTCACTTTTTCAAAATAAATAAAGTAAAGTAATCAGTTAACGAACACATCAACTGAATTTATATGTAAATATGTATAAAGTTTACTTAACTAATAATACTAAACAAGTTACATATGTATATTACCCTCGAGATATCTCATTAAATCCATCCCATTAGACCAGTTTCAAACAAACATCTCAATCAACTACTAAAGCAAAATTTCCAGTTAAACGAGATCTAATAAATTGAAATTAATGTTTTCAGGTAACAAGTCGGACTGCGGAACTGAACGAGTGGTGAAGAGGGAAGACGGTGAACGGTTAGCGCAAGAGTACAAAGTTCCCTTTATGGAAACCTCAGCTAAAACCGGCCTGAACGTTGAATTGGCCTTCTTGGCCGTTGCTAGGTACTTTTGAATCCTTTCATCAATCGTCATCGATTTATCATTATTCATTAATAGAACAATAAATAAATGAAACATGTGGAACTCTAATTAGATGAAACTTCGCAGCAGCATAGTGTAATTGATTAATTGTCAAATTAAAAAAAAATAGATAAGCGAAACGACGTTGTTGCTATTTTGATGATGCTGTGTAATTTGGCAGTTTTATAATTATATATATTTATTATATATATGTATATATATTTATATTAATAGAATAGATGATATATGATATACATACGATGCTCCATCTTGTTTCTAGCGATACAAAGTTGGTGAATTGATCTTTGCTACCACATCAAAATAACATTGAACCTTCATCTGGATCGGATCCAACAATGTGCATTTGATAGTCATCAAATGTTATTTTATATATAATTTCAGAGAATTGAAGGCGAGGAAAAGCAACGACCCAGACGATACGAAATTCAACGTGCAGGACTACGTTCGTCAACAATCGCAACGAAATTCATGCTTCAATTCTAATTGCCTGACTACCTGAACTGCGCAATAACCCTGCGCGTACATTTCCCTGCGATAGATGGAGACGAATGGTGGAACATGAACCGGAATTGGTCATAAAAATGGCGCGAAACTATTTTGATCGTTCAAATATTCGTTTCCGTGATTTAGAGCGGAAATCATTGAAACGTTACAGATTTTCATTTTATTCACGAAGAAAGATGCATTTTTCTGTGAACTTGTACAATTTATTTATTACAATTTTTTTATTTAATTTTTTTATTATTTAAACAAACCAATTTTCGATAAGAGTTCGTAAAATTATTGTATACAAGAGAAATTATTTGAATTGATAGAATCGAAGGCATGAATTTTAAAATCTCGAATAAAAAATCTCAAAAAGAATGAAAATACGTTTTTGTTCCACCAAAAAAATACATTTGTTAAGGGATAAAGAAACAATATAGACAAATAGGATGTCAATATTTTTGAAAGAAACCGATAGGAAACTCTTGTTGATGATACGTGTATAGAAATCTATTTATCGATGGTTAATCCTGTACTGTACATTAATGTGAATAGTTAACGCGAAACAAAAATCTGCAATATATGATATAGATTTAGGAAATCTCTTCATGGTTCTAATTTGCACACTGAATATGATCGTTACGATGTTAGAAAAAAGCGAAAAAAAAAGAAGAAAAAGATTAAAAAAAATTTTATCTAATTTGGTATCGAGAAATTAATGAGATGTCATGTGAAAGCTCATCATGTACCAAGTAGATATACGGTTTTAGACTAACCGTTATGTAGAAGAGCTTTCCCAAAATATACCATAGCTGCCATATATACAACATGGTTTACTAAAAACGCTCAATATTTTGTTGAAAAGCTTATTCGCGTAGTTTTTAAATGTGAATGATTGAAATTTAGTTAAAAATATATGTATATGTATAAAAACATATTTATAAATCTTTTAATATTTATTTAGACTGATAATTGTTTAAAAAATTTCGTGTATTTGTATTTTATTTTTAATTTTTATCTTCTCTCATTTTGTTTTATAATGTGTGCGTGTAATCGTGTAGTTTTCATAACGTTCTTGTAACATTAGTCACGTGACTAACGTCTGATTTTTAAGATTTTCTATCTAATGGTGAATATATACGATACGATACGATATTTTCGATTAACTCAATTTACATTTCAAGTTTTTGGATCTTATACCTACTATATTATACCTATTACTTTTACAATCGCACAATGATCATTTGCAATCGATATTTCGAAATTGATATAGAATGTTGAACGTTTGATTTTATTCATTTGCGATTACTGAACAATTCATTACGAACACAAGGAAAAATGGAACGAAATATAATCATGTAACGTTACCTGCAATATATGTGCAATGTATCTTATCAACATGTACAAATGACAAACAGTTACATGTCAAATGTATATTGAGAAGTATATATATATATAAAATAAACGACCACTCGACCAATAATATAAAATTGTTTTTTGACTTACCACCATTGTCTCTGTTTCCTTGTTTGTCACTGTCAATCGTGTTGTAAGAACTCTCGAAACAATCCAACGATTATGTATTTATTATCCACAATAAAATATTTGTCTCTTTTCTTATCACTGAATATATATTCCGCACATTTGACACTCGCGAATCATGACAACATTATGATTGATAAATAAATACTACATTAAAAAACACACCGTGCATCTGCCTAACGCGCGCTCCTCTTCTAACTTGTTCCTTGAACCCTGGGAATGAGTCGAAATGGACCGCTCGGTCTCAGTTTCAAATGTCGACGTACAAACAAAACGCTGCGTCCCTAACCTGCTTCTGAGAAGCGCGTATCGCTGGCAGCCAGAACACCTAGCTGATATCGTGCAAGGAAGAACCACGAGTGTTTACGTCCATAATGGACGAAGTGATAGAGTTACAAAATATGGAAAACGTATGCAGGCTCTGCCTTTCCACCGACGAGCCAAAATCGTCGGTGTTCGAAGTGGAAGACTCTCCGGTATCGTTGGCCAATAAAATACAAGCGTGTTTGTCGATTCAGGTATGTCTAATATATTGTTATTTAGTAATCTTCTCATTCTTTTTAATGTTTCTTTCTTTTTTCGTATTTTTCAACTTTTTGCATATTATCTCTGTAATAATGCGGGTACATTGAGGTTAGGTCTATACTGGATCATGTTATAGATAAAAACATTGATAAAATATGACCATGAATTTCTTTGCTTTTTATTATTGTTGGTCATTGTTAGGCAAAGGAGTTTTTATAGCGATAATACTTTTAAGAAAACCCGACTTTTATTCAAATTTTGGAGCATACACATTTTGATCGGGTTCATGAACCTTTTAGATTTTAACGACGGACAAATTATCGACGAAAATATGCGCGCAATGTATTAAAAATGTGAATCAGTGGCATAATTATAAGGAAATATGCCTACGTTCCCAAGATAAATTGCAACAATGGTTGGAACAGAATTTACAAACAAGCCCGATGGTAAGTATATATATTTTATTAATTTTGTATTTTGTTAATTTAATATATATGATTTTAATCAATATATCACTTTTATTTGTTATAGGTTGTAACAATTAAAGATGAACCTGTTGACTTGGACTTTTGTGAGGACAACATTGAAGTTATATCCGAATCTACCAATGATTCAGATTTGGTAAGTTTTATTATGATTCAAAACGGTGTTTAGAAAATTAAACTATATTAAATTTATATTTTCCTCTGTAGGAAGCTACTAATCTTGAAGAGAGTATGAATTCTTTAACGAACAATGTCCAAGTAGAATTAACAGATGATGAAATTAATTTTGAGAAAAACCAATCAACTTTAACAAAAGATGTGGATATAAGTATAAAATCTGAACCACAGGATTATGACACAGATTGTACTATAGAGATAGAATCTGTAACTGGTAGTGAGCTTGTTTTGAATCCTCTTTCAAACACAGAGGATAGGATTATGGAGGCTGATTCTACTCAAAAATCCAATGCATCCACATCAGCAAGTAAGAAAAAAACCAGAAGAGGCCCACATACCCACTTTAGAGGTGCACGTGTTTTCAAACAAAAATGCGTACATTGTCAAATTAATCTGCATTCTAAATATTCTTATACAAAGCACATGGAAAGATTTCACAGTGATAAACAAAATGGTACTAATCAAAAATCAGAGTTGGAAGATGAAGAAGAGCTTGTTGAAGATTTAGAAGATGAATTAATGAGCATGGAAAAAGATGCTCCATTAACACAAGTGCAACAAAACATTATTAGTCAATTGAAAACTTTCATGTGTTATTCTTGCGAACAAACTTTCAACGATCGTAGAAGTACACTTTCCCATATTCGTCAACATATGCCTGATTTAAGGCCATACACGTGTATTGCGTGTTTGACAGAATTCCCAGATCGCTCGATGTATAAACAACATTGTAAAATGTCATTCGAATGTGCGATGAAGATTGCACTCGTTATACCGAATGAAGGTGAAGAGAAATATTTCACTTGTAATATGTGTTTACGTCCTATGCAGAATAGGAAACAGTTGCTTAGTCATTTATCAAAACACTCGGATAAACAATACGAGGAATTAATATCTCCTACACGATCTCCTCCTAAACTAAAACCAATAACTCCCTTACCATCTCCAAAACAAGAAATAATGAAGGAGCCACACAATGAAAGTTTAAATATACCACATCCTTACAAAAACGGCGATCCTGCGCACAATCATATATGTGATTTGTGCGGTATGATTTACAGGTACAAACCTAATATGCTAAAACACAGAGATCTTTGTCAACGTTTATCGTCTGAGGTTAGAACGTCCTACAAATGTGTTCATTGTGGCATGACGTATCTCGTGTTTAGAAAGTTTCATAGTCATATCACGGCAGATCATAAAAAGAAAGAGTTCACTTGCTCTGAATGCAACAAAAAATTCAGATCTCCTAGCGATTTCTTAGAGCATCATGAGATGCATCGAATGGCGCGTAATCAAAAACAACCTCTTCAATTGAAAAGCGATTTAATGAAGCATAAACAGAATTTATCGACGTCGTTCAAAGACTGGGATAAATTCGAAGCTGAAATGAACGCAAATCAATTATCTGATAACAATCAATACAGTTGTGCACTGTGCAATCTGGAATTCTCAACTAGAGCTGAATTAACGGAACACAGGAATCTTCATTTGAAAGTGAAAATCTATTCTTGTGTTATCTGTCGTAGCATGTTCAGTAGTGCAGGTGCTTTGGAAATTCACATGAAGGATCATGGAATAGAAGACCCGAATGAGAGAAATGCAAATATTTCGTGTGTAGAGTACGGTACCGTGGAAGATGATTCACGAGATTCAAACTCAATGAATTTAAGTGCTATCTCGGATCCAGGGCCAAAACATAATAATTGTAAAAAATGCGGAAGACAATTCTCAAATACTGCGAATCTCAAGAGACATATAAGGAACATTCATCCGATCGAAAAACCTCCTTACAATTGTTCTCATTGTTGGCTATCATTTAAGAGCAAAGAAATCCGAGATCAGCACATTACATCCGCACATTCAAAGGCTTCGAAAACTATGCTTCGATGTCCTCAATGTCCACAGACATTTGTCTTTGAAGCCAATTTAGATCTTCATTTCAAAAATCATCATAAAGATTGTCGTTTCAAATGCGATATTTGCGGTAAAGAATTTTTGAAGGAAGGCTCGTTGAAGATTCATAGAAGTTGGCACAATAGAGAAAATTATGGACAGAGTTTGAAATTTATGAAGAAAGAGGATCAAAAACCTTTGGTAGAACCTAAAAAAGAAGAATTCAATACGAACGTTAGTGGTCGGCCGGCTAGAGCACGAAAATCCTATCCGAATTCATCTCCGACAAAACCTAATGGCAATTTCCAATGTCAAGTTTGCAGTGATAAGTTTAATGACGTAACAGAATTGAGAAAACATTTATGGGATGTGCATTGTGCTCGTAACAAAAGCGAGAAAAGCTTTTCAGGTGATGAATTCCAATGCGAACTTTGTACGAATATTTTCCCTGATAAGGAGACGTTGAACGTACATATACAATGGCACAAGGCTCAACCCATCTTGAGTGACATTCGAAAGACCAATTTCCCTTGTGATATCTGTGGAAAACTTTACAGTTCCAAAAAGGTATTGGCGAGACACAAAAAACTTCATAAAGCGAGCTCCGTGGCTATTAGCAACTTTTCGAGCAATCAGCCTTTATGCACAATTTGTCATAAAGTATTTAACAGTAATCAGTCGTTACAGCGTCACAGGCTTAATTTGCATAGCAATATTTTCTCTCAACGACCTCAAACACAACAGTACAATAATACGAGAAGAATGTCTCAAGAAGAATCAAAACCTAAAAAAATAAAATTAGAAGAAGAAGATAAAAAAATACCATTTGCTATGGATGCCATGAGCGCAGGCAGAAAGTCGGTAATGTGTCACGGCTGTAAAAAATTCTTCCCTAATATGAGTGTACTGTATAAACATAAACAATTGGTACATAACAAATCTCACATGATAAGGAACATCGCGAAATCATTCACAATGGAATGTGTACCATTGCATTGCAATGATGGAAAAGTCGCATGCAACATTTGCTATAAAAAATTTTCCGGTATACCGAATCTCCGTCAGCATTTCACTGTGAAACACAAGAATGACCGGCCCAAATATAAGTATGCTTGCTCTATAGACGGTTGCAAGCTCACCTTCCCTACACAATTGACCTTAAAGCATCACGAATTATCGCATACAGTCACTATGTTCAGCTGCTCCTTGTGCAATAGACACGTGTTTAATAGAGCGGCTATGACGAATCATATGCTGACAGTGCACAACACCGTCTACGATGCCGAGAAGAACAAGAATTTCCATAGAGAGATGGATTTGAGTAGTTACGTGGTGGAAGGTGCGGTAGATGCTACTTGCCCCCGATGTAAAGTGAAGTATCCCAACAACAAGGCTATGAAGATTCATTATTTCAAAATTCACGAGGGCACGAATCAGTAGAATCTTGAATTTTTTCATATCTGAAATAATCTGCGGGGATTCGAACAAGGCGTATAGATTTTATGACGAATCGAATATGGATGATGTAACGAATGCTTGATCCTATGGACAGAAAGACTCTGCGAGTTGAATAGGCGCTGCTTTACACATTCTTTTTTACCAAATCATAAAGGCACACGTTAATCTCTTTATCCAACTTTAGCAATTATGATGTTCATAAGAGCGTGAGGAATATCTAGTATCTCTTGACGTTTATTCGTTTAGTGTGCACAATTTAAATATATATTTTTTTGTTTTGTTTTGGATGTCACGGGAATTACTCTCTGTTGAGAATAAGACTATGGCAGGCCTGATCGATAAGTTCTGTAAATAAGACATTATAGAGAAACCAAGAAAAAGGGAAAAAGACCTACAT